GGGTTAAAACCGTAGCCGTTAACACGTTCCGTGCCATGTGTACCATCGATGGTACATGCTTACATGTTTCTTTAATGCGTTAACAAAATAGTTTGTAGCAAATATAGAACCGAAGAATTAATTCCACCGCAAGAATGGGTCATGATAAGTTTGTTTTATTATTACATACGATGATTAATAATTACATATAATATATCAAGTTTTAGTAAAATATCAAATGGCCAGCGTGAAAAGTCGAGTAAAAACAACTCGGCACAGAACGTGTTAAGGGATCCGTAGCCCGGCTGCAAACGGGTTCCAAGGTAGAATAAGCGAACGGCGTTAACGATGACGTCGAGCCTCGTAGAAAACGCAAGAGTTCCAGGGGATGATTTATCGCGGGGGCCGATGTTGCCATTGCGACCGGATTAATAGTTTCGTGGGAGTGACAGACGGCTTGATAATAATTTATCGGGTGCGTCCGTGTAATTGCTATCGAACCATCTGGGAGGAACTGGATTGATAACGGGTCCATCGGTAAACGTCACCGATTCACAGGCCGCCCGATGGATCAGGCCCGAGTGAAATCATGGAACCAGGGTTTCGATCGTGCGGACAACCGCTGGTTATCGTGTCGTTAACGGGCTCCTAGATTAAGCAGTCGAACGTTTAATGGTTCACGGTTACATCGCGACTCGGCTGGCGATTCGGTTCGGTCGAACCTGCCTTAGATGTTGTGCCATGCGCATTTGCGATTCATGTATTATGTACGGTAGTGGTCGAAAGATTGATTAAATTTTAATACGTACGAGAATTACACGCGAATACATTTTATTGACTGGATCAACATACGTATCGAATATTAATTCTATCGTTCGTCCTATAATTATAACAATAATGAACGTTCGTAATTTTATTCGGACGACGGATGGAAGACAATGACTAACGAATAAAATTGTATTCGACGCTATCGAATTAATATTGAATCGAATAAAACGTTATCTGGATAAACATTTGTTCGAAACTGTTCGACACCATCGAATAAATATTCAATCTAATAACAATTAATCTGGATACAAATTTATCCGAATAAAATCTTATTCGAAGAAAGAAGTCATTCGAATATGATTTTATTCGAAGAAGAAGTTATTTACTTTTTCATTTATTTAAGCAGTTTTAACCTATATACGAAGAAGAATTTTATTCGTACAGGAACCTAAACGGAAAATAATCGATAGGAGTAAAAAACAGCACGTAACGTGTTTTCTCACAGTTCATCGATTTTTATCTTCCATATTACCTTTTCGAATTATTCGAATGGAAAAGTTTTCGAATAAAAAGTTACTCGTTACTCTCCAACCATTCAAATCGACGGAGGACGATAGAAAAACGGCGAAGACGTCGAACCGTTGCGGAAGGGTTGCGGATCGTGGACACACGAGCGTCCGACGAAATAAAACGAAACCGCTCGTGCAGCGTCAACCGGAACAGAACGGTATCTTTGCGCTGGCAGCTGTGATTCGATCAAACGATCGCAACGGCCCGGATCAAAGTCTCGAATAAAGTGAATTAACGAGCGTACACCTGCAAGCGGCTAATCGGGCAAACGGTTTTCGTTTCTCCGTGTGGATTAAAGCGACTCGGTCCATCATCGTCGTAGTCGTAAATGCAATAGCAAGATCAGGAATTAGTCATCCCGGGAAAGAAATCGCACGGAGCCGCTACTCGTTCTTGTCGATCACGTTCCCGAAATTCACATTTCGAGATTGCACAACCACGGTTTCCGATACTCTTCATTTGACCGTTTAGAAGTCGGCAGTTTCGCAATTTGCATTCTTCGGACGAGAAGAAAATGAAAGAATAAAGAAGTATTTTCATTCAAAAATAAACAAAACGAATAAAGAAATGTCTTTATTCAAAACAAACGAAATAAATGAACAAAGAAATTCTTTGATTTAAAAATAAACAAAATAACAGAGTAATGATATATTTTTATTCAGAAACAAACAAAGTAAAAAGAATAAAGCTTAAAATTTTTTAATTAAAAAACAGACGAAATAAAAGAACAAAGAAATTCATTGATTCGAACGTAAACAAAATAAAGCGATAAAGAAACATTTTTATTCTAAAATAAACAAAATGAGAGAATGAAGAGATTGTTTTTAATTATCGAAACAGAATGAAGGATGACAGACATTTTTGTAATTAAAAAATGCACAAAGAACAAAGAAATGATTTTATTCAGAAATTAACAAAATGAAAGAATCAAGAAGTATTCTTATTCAAAAATAAACAAAATGAAGGGATAAAGAAAGTTTTTCATTCAGATACAAAAGCGAAATAAAAGAACAAAGAAATGTCTTTATTCAAAAATAAATAAAATAGAAGAATGAAGAAATTATTTTATTAAAGAACAAACGAAATGAAAGAACAAATCAAAGAATTAAGAACTTAATCTGTTTTATTCGATAAATATCCGCAACCCTAGAACATCGCATCTCCGATTCTCGCAAGTCGTATATCACCGATTGAAACGTGCAAGATGCCTTGTCGAACCGCGGCAGATTCCATCGGTCGGAAAATCTGAATTTTTGGTGTCCCATAGGCTTTCGGCCGGCACGACAGCGATTCATCATCGAATTCCTGATGGCTCGACGAAACCGTTTCGGAATACGTTCGCGTCAGTGGTAACGGTGGCCCCGCAGGAAGCCAAGTACACGTTCGCCGATATCTGCCCCGGCAGATCTTTCCGGCGCGTCTTTGCGAGAACGGTGAATTTTTTTTCTCGGATCGTTCAGCTCCTCGTTCTATCCCGGAGGACTTTATCGACCTTATTATCCCGGACTTCCGGTCGGGAGCGCGCGCGGATCCGGCTTCTTTAGAGGGCCGTCGCGGGTTGTCGTTTTGAACGCGGTTATTTTACACGCGGACGAGTAAACGGAACAAAGAGGAAAACAATATTTTTTCGAGCGCGGCCGTCTGGTATACCCGCGGGTTGATTTTTTCCGGCGGCGAACGTCGAATAGCCTTGCCGATCGATTTTTACTCGGTCCGCTGATCTCGAATACGGTGTCGTGAGAATCGAACCCCTTGCGCGCCACCCGACGCCTGCAGGAGTTTGTTTCCGCGATCAAAAAGTTTCGCGACTGTCTATGTGTGGTCTATGGCCTACAGCGATCGCTATAGTAGCCAATGGTACGTGGAAATACTCGCACGTCGGGTGCGTCGAACAATTTTGCAGTTGCGCGCGAGTAATCGATGCTAATAGAACCGCGGCTAGAAAACTGAGATCGATCAACGTATGGAGCTTCGTGTCGCATGCTCCGAAATATCAGGGTTGCTGAAAATCAGTGGGCTGCGATTCCCGCGGCCGTCGGGGATCGGACACAATATTCTTTTCTAATGGACGACGACCGGTTGAAAAGCCCTTGGACGCGAAAGAAACGCTTGGATATGTGTGTGTGTGTGTGTGTGTGTGTGTGTGTGTGTGTGTGTGTGTGTGTGTGTGTGTGTGTGTGTCATGTCACTGTAAATGGGTGACGGGAGTTATTTGCCTAAATAAAATGTTTAATCTCACGTAATATCATTACGGAATGAAAAATAAATAGAGTAATTTCAGGGCGAGTTGCTTCTTTTTCGGGCGATGGACGCCAAAAAGTGGTTCTTATTTTTCTTCTTTTACCATGGCGCACCAAATGAACAACGTTTGAAAAAATTCTCAGGTTACTATTTTGATGATTTCTTGTTATTAACCCTTTGCACTCGAAGTTATTTAATAAATAATAAATAAAATCAATTTTCTCACTTACAGTATTTCTATTTTATAAGATAAAATGCATTTTATGCACATGAAAGTGACGCTTGGGACTCACGCAACAGTTACACTCTTATCAATTTTTTGAATCTAAACTTTGTTAATATAAAAATTATCTTAAAACGTGATGTAACAAATTTTAGTGGTGCCTCTGAGTCATCGCTCGAGCGCAAAGGGTTAAATAAGGTTCGTCGGTGTGACAGAGCTACTTCTATAAGAAATCCGCATTTTTGGGGACTAAGATCGTTTATTTTATTTTTTTGCAACTATAATTATCAGCTTAAAAATCTGACGAAATTCTCAAAAAATGCATACGAATATTCGTGACATGTCACGTTTTTGTCACCATTGTTGCATTCGTTTAAATAGGGAAAATCGATCGAAAACCGTTAAACCGAAGATAATATTATTATAATATTATATTATTATATATTATTATTATATATATTTATATTATATTTTATATATATTATATACATTATATTTTATATTATTATTTATATTATTATAATATTATTGTTATTAAAATTATTATTTCTATTATTATTGCCATTATGATTATTATTATGTTGAAATTTTGTCGAGAAACTAAACGGGCGATTGGCCGGCGATGCTAAATAAACTAATCGATAAATAAATAAAATGCTTCAATTGTGCGAAAATTTTGAGGTCGTTGACATACCAGTCAAAGTGTTAACGCTACGCGATGGAGTCTTTCTAGCCGCGTCGCGTGTGTTTGAAAGGAGCCGGAACGAAAAGTCGAGATCCGTGTGAAAACAAATTTATTCTCGGAATCCCCTGTCACTCGATGTTTACTACTCCGTTCGAGGCTCGTCATCGAGTTACCCTCTTCTTCTAGGGATCGACGAATCGGCTTGCAGTCGCTATAGAACGGCATCCGAGCCCGAGTACCAATCATCGAAATACGCTTCATTCCGCCGCGCCGCGTCGCGGAAACGTTGCTCGTGTCTCGTTCTTTTCTCTTTCTCGGCTCATAATCTCTCGCTTCTTTCCTTTTGAACTCGTCTTCGGCCTTACTTCGCGGGAGGAAACGAACGACAAAGCGTTCCCACGGCGCGGAAAGGATTAAGGTAAAATTGAATCGAGCTTCGATCCGACGCGATTCGATCGAACTCGACTCGACTCCGCGAGTCACCCGGATTGGCGGGTTAATCCGCGGCAAAGATTTTAATCAGTTGTTACTCACGTTTTTGATCGTTCCTTTGAGCTGCTTGGACGCCTTCCACCAGGTTAGGTCGGCTGCCGGCTTTGATCCCGTGCTCTGACATCTCGCCTCGTAACTCCTTCCCGCCGATAGGATCTTGTCCTTCCCCATAATTTCGACCTTGAGTGGCTTCACTGCGAACAGACATCGAGAAACGCATCTGTCAAAAGTATGCTCTTATTCGGCGACGTAGATTGCTCGCTGTGAATACCAACGAATTCGCATATGTTAACGAGTTTTAATAGGCTTTTCAACGACTGAAACGTGTCTAACGGTAGCTCGACAATTTTCTTTTAAAGAATAATTTCAGAAAAATCTGTTGCATTGTTATTAAGTTAAAACATTACATGGTTTATAGATAATGCGTTAATATGGTAACTAGACAGCGGGTTCTTTTCGTATTCGTGACAAAAATATGTAGGCAAAACGTATCTGATTGTGTTACTTTCGGCTTGTTGAAACTATTAAGAGAAAAACTATTAAGATTACTTATCGTAATCGATTCAGACAATTTTTATTTTGCATAAAAAATTTTTCTACAAAAATTGAATATAATAATAATATTAATAATAGTAGTAGTAATAAATAAAACAGTGATAATAGCAATAATAATAATAATAGATGATAATAATAGAATAATAATAATGATCAAAATAATAATAGAATAATAATAATGATCAAAATAATAATAGAATAATAATAATAATAATAATAGTAATAACAAGAATAATAGAATAACAATAAAAATGAAAACGTAAACAATATGATCACAATGTACAAAGCAACCATAAACTATACATCGTAGCTTCTGATAAAATTATATAGTTGATTTTTAAACTGATTAAAATTATCAGTGAAGATGTCAACGTCATCGGTAGACTGCGGTATTTATACATTCTTGACAAAAATATACGATTGAGAAAGAAAATTGCGAGGATATTAAAAGAATTTATTAACATCGCAAAATTGTTTCCAACGTGTTAAGATTATTGAAAGAAGAAATACCATTTGGGTTTTTCTCTTCTCTTCGACTTTTTCAAAATGCTAAAAATGGAAATTCATGTTTATTTCGCTCCAGTTTGGTGCAATCGAGATACAGAATTTTTATTTCGCACAAAGAACCACAGTTTTGTTGATGAGGCAGAAAACCACGGCGGATTCACGTAAAAGATCGCGGATCATTACAATTAATCAGTTTGGTAACAATAACTATTACATTGGGGTCAAGCATCGATTCTCTTTCTAATTTCGTTTTTAACGTAGCTCATTCTATTCACGAACGGTTATGTCAAGGCGATGCAAGGTTTCGTCGGCGTTTTCCCGGATTTCAAAAGTATTGTGCATCGTACGCCCCGGTCGCTGACCCCCGGTTTTCCGAGCGGGCTTTCGAGTGATCCTTCCGCGCTTATCCGACGAGTCCGCGTAAACTCGCAACGACGAAGAAATACGTCGACGATCCGAGTCGAAGTTCAAACAGCGCAGCCGATCCGGAAGGTATAGCTCGCGTGTGTGTGCCTGGCTAATCCGAGAGAGCGCGGAATGCATGCTCGCGATAAGGACTATCGAGCGGAATAATCGAGACCCCGTGCCGCCCCGAACGGTCCAACGGATTTCTTCCCTTATCTTCGAGAATAAACTGCGAGCACTAAGAAATTACTCGAGGAGAACGAGAGAAAGAGAGAGAGAGAGGGGGAGAGAGCCAGTCGCGCGCGGAGGCTTATTAAACGAAACGAACCGCGATAGCGAAACACAGTCGGAAACCCGTTGGAAAAAGATCCAAAAGGGTCCAGTAAGGTTCGAAAAGGTCCAGAAAGGTTCAAATAGGTCCAGCAAAAGGTTTATCCGGTGGGAACGCAAGGAGAACACTTGTTCGCGAAACTTTTCGACTCTCGGCACTCGGCGAAGTGTTTCAATGGCAAAGTCGAGACGGGCCGGGCCGGACCGGGCTCGAACCGTGCTCGAGATTTCTCCTGTCCTCGAGCTTCTAATATTTCGAACTTAATAAGTCGCTGCTAATTATTCCACGTGGCTTCGTCTTTCACTCCGAGCAGTTTTCAATCTCGGCTCGGAGAAAGAGAAAAGCTAATTTCATCGGGCACTGGAAAAACTCGCGCGGTTTCCTTCTGTCAAAGGTTTCTCCGACCGAATTTCTCGAGTTACCTGGCCTCAGCGATTTCAAACATTCATGAACTTGACGCTGAACTTGCCGAGCATTAGGACCTTTTATTTTTATTAACGTGCAGTAACGTGCAGAATATGACGTGACGTGCAATAACGTCGTTTCCTCTCCCGATACTCTGCACCTTCTTCGAGTCGACGCCAATTTAATTGGCTAGATCCAATTGCGACGCTCTTTCTCTAACATTTTTTCAATACTTCCTCTCCGTCATTCTTATTGCAGCACGAAAAATGATCAGCGTAACATATATATATATATATATATCATGTTACATTGCTCCATTTCTTTGTACCTATATTTAAATATTTTTATATCGTATTTTTTATTCATTACACTATGTAAGAAACGGTTCTTCGAGTCGACATCGATAAACTATTATTATTAGACTGCGGATTTTATCTATTTATAATTAAAATAGATTGGGGAAATTCGAAACATTACAGAGATTAAAAGAATTTAACTATTAAAATTGTTAAACAAAGAACGAAATTTCTGGTTTGTTCATGATCGTTGCAATTTATGAAGAAAATTTTTATTTTGCAGTCTAATTATTATGCTAGTTATTATGTATCGTTGTTAATGACTAACACTTTGGCTGCCACGCCGACAACCACAAAAATGTCGTGCAGTTTAAAGTATTTTATTTCGTCAAAGTAAAATTGCAAGGTTAAATTATATGCCATCAATTATTTTTTCAACATTCTCACGTTTTGCGGACCCAGATAAAATTAGGAAGATATAATAGAACAATGTGAAAATTCATTTTCAAATCTGAGTCGGCAGTCAGTGTTAATAAATTTTTATTTTCTGTCTCTACCGATAAATGTAGGAAAAAATCACCAATGTGACCTAATCGAAGTTAACATTTTATTGCGAACGAGTACTCAAATCAGTCGTCCGTTATTCTAGTTTTGTATGTTCGATTATTATTTTCTTGTCTATTTATATTGTACAGTAGGGCTCTATAGCCCGTCCAAAAAATAAATAAATAAAATAAATGAATAAAATTAGAAAAAGATTGTCGAGCCGCCGATACGACAGTTCTCAATTCTTTTAATTCACGACCGTGAAAATGGTAAAGATACATTCGTCGAAAATTATGCAGTCAATTTGTTTCGTTGGAGATTTATTATAATAAAGGTCGCCGAACGTTAAGTAACGCGATTATTGCGACTACAATGGAATTGCGGTAATTAAAAGTAATATTTCCACGTTCTTGTACGGTTCTTCGTCCCGAGCAGTTTTTAATTTCGCCCGGAAAGAGTGGAAGATAATTTTATTGGGCCGAGGAAAAAAAATATCGCGCGCCAAAGAAATGCTCGAGCCGAATTTTTAAGGTATTCGTCGACTTTTTCAATTTCTCTGCTAGTGAAAAATAGAACACTAACACTTTAATGATTTCGCAACGGGCAAGCATGATTTCGCCGAAAAAAGACGCAGCTAATGAATAAGCTCATTGTTCAACAGAGTATAATGAATCTGCACGAATTTTATCCGGAACCTTGTAATTATATCGCGAATATTTCTACGTTTGTAGCTTATACGAACCCGTACAATTCAAGAGATCGTAATATCACAATCCTATTCTCCAGCGAATATGATCGCGATATTATTCAATGCCGTGTTAAACAATGTAAAGGTTCGACAAAGGAATACATTGTGTGCGGCGAAAGGTTGCCTTTTGATTTAAAAGATTTTCCCACTCGGAAAATCGAACGCACCGAGCGAAGATATGACACACGGCTTGAAAATGGACAAGCAATCGACTAATCCTGAGAAATTAATTTGCACATAGAACTTGATACATTGGTGGTTCAGTTAATCGATGATCGAGAATCGTTTTATAACTGGCCTAGTTTTTTCAGCGAATTTAACCCTTAATCGCGGACACGGTGTCTGACAGATTCTACTCTAAACATCTACTCCCTCCGGATCGAAATGATTGTCCAATTTCCATAAATCATTTATATCGAAATGATTGTTCAATTTTTTTTATTAAGTATGATACAGCTATGTGAGTATAAAAAGTGTTTACTTAACTTTTATTTTATATAAAAACGAAAGCTTCTATCTCGTCAGTTCGATGCAGGTTTATAAATCGGATGATCATATCGATACGAAGAGAGCGATATTTACTGGCTCTACTTTTTTATTTCCAATTTATCGTTACGATTCGAAGGCAATTCGGAGGCCGCATGATACGATTCGAAGGTAATTCGGAGGCAGCATGACACGATTCGAAGGCAATTCGGAGGCCACATGCCACGATACGACGGTCACAGAGCTAGTGCCTATCTTGTAGCTCCGCGGTTTTTCTTATCTGACTCATTTAATACTTCGACTGTCGTGTCATCCATACGCGGGTGACAGAATTATTACTTCAAACCTGAAAATCAATTTCCACGCTAATCCATTATACCTTGCTAACTTTATTAGAATCCGCAAAATGTAGAAACGTTGAGAAAAGTAATCGATGCCATACAAGTTCACTTTTCAATTTGAATTCGATTGAACAAAATGCTTTAATGTTATTAAATTTTCGACATTGTTGGTGTGGCAACCAAAGTGTTATACAGATCATTTTGTGTTGTTTTTCGGGAACTCCGTCGACCCTTATCGTTGACGTAGCAATAAATTACACAGGCGTAGGAATAGCACAGAGAAATTCACAGCAACCCGAAATTTGGCATTCTAGAGAGAAATAACTGTAATTATCACAAACTCGGATATCCGTAGATGAGAACGGTTAATCGCAATATCTTCAAAGATTGTTTGAGGAATCCTTGACATAACCTTGACATCGCCTTGACACAAACTCGGATATCCGTAGATGAGAACGGTTAATCGCAATATCTTCAAAGATTGTTTGAGGAATCCTTGACATAACCTTGACATCGCCTTGACACAAACTCGGATATCCGTAGATGAGAACGGTTAATCGCAATATCTTCAAAG